GTTATTTAATTTTATATAAAAAATTTGTCCCTTTTTATTTACAAAAAGAATATATATATATATATATTTTATAGGTGTGGGAATGTAGCAGCGATTCTCGAGTTAGATGATCAATTGAATAAAAATTATAAAATATTCGAGGCAGCAGCACAGGTATGTTTTATTTGTAATATGATTTTTTAGAGATTTGTCATTTTTTTATATTTTAAAATTTTCTTAGGAAATTCGCGGTGCACCAACAAAAAGGACAGTGCCGGATTATTTCTTGTGATTACAACATTATTCTCTCATTTGCAATCACCATCAAAGGATCAGATAATTGTTCGTCCAAATATTTATTGGCAAACCAATTATTAATAATACAGTTATCTCTACCTTATATCATTAGAGAAGGACTGTAAAGTTAAAAGATCCTAGGATGTCATTACTCATAATTATGCACTATTATTTAAATTAACAGTCACATATTTATATCACATTCGGTACCGAGTATCGACCCTTTGGGTATTAAACTTTTACCTAATAATTGAACTAATAGAATATAGCCCGTTATTTATTTATAAAATGCGATTGCAAAACAGTCTTTTTCGAACTATGATTTTTTAAACTTTTTTGTGGAAGGAAGTATTAGGTAAAGCTTTTTTATTTAATTATTTAATTATTTTTTTTTTTAAATAAATATATATATATATAGCTATATACATAATTTAATTTCTCCTGTAATATATTTCTACTATATTAATTTTTAAATTCACATTGAGTTTATATTAGACTAAAATAGATTGCTTGTATCAACAATAAGGTAGTATTGAAATTATTATTATTATTATTAGAATTATTATTATTAATATTTAATAGAATTAATAATTAACCAATTAATTAGATTATAATTTACTAATATCTATAATATTTAATAAAGGAATTAAAGAAATAATTATAAAAATTATGAATTGCAAATGATATATATGAATTTTATTTAAATTTGGTTGTACGATCAGTTATTCGAAAATTAAACAATTATCCAACAAATTATTTCTTCATACTTGCGATATTATTTTGATGATATATTATTAATATTTAAAAGAAGTAAATTATTATATACTAGTACATAATAATTATGAAATCACAAAATAATTATATTTAAATAAATTATTCTATAATGATAAAAAAAAAAAATAATTTGCTAAAACAAAATGAACCAAACAAAAGAAATTGCAATAATCTAAAATAATAATATTATAATGAAATACAACAAAAAGTCCTAAACTACATTATACCCTATTAATTTGTATATATATATATATATATTATTATTATTATTATTATTATTGATAAAAAGACATTAAAATACTAAAACAAATCTGATTCACTTACCATGCATGTGTCATATATTTTTGAACCGCTATCAATGCTCTATAACGAACTTCTGGATCATCATGTGTCATGAGTTCCATTATTCTTCGTTTAGCACCGATTTCTTGTAAAAACCTAGATACATTACAGTAAATAAAAATTTAAAAAAACTTATACAATAATTCAACAAAAAATAAAATAAAATCATCCATACTTTTTCCCACTAGGATAATATTTTACATATTGTCCCAAATCATGTGCAGCGATTGCAAGAACAACATTATCACTAGATTGACTAAGCATTCTTGCCAAAATTCTATAATAAAAATTTTAATGGAGATACTAAGTTGATAATTGCTTATTATTGATAAATTTTCTAATATTATAATCATTTCAAATACCTTAACAATTCATAATCTTTATCATTTAACTTTGTAACATTTTGTTTCCAAAATTGATCGGATTCGTGTGGTGGCGACCATTGAAGCATACCAGAAGAAATTTCTGATGCATATTCATCAAAAGTTCTAAAACCATAATTTTTCATTAAGTCAACTAATTAATTTTTGTTATATTAGGAAGTATTTTTCTATTGAACTTACGACAAACTATGGAAATTTTCTTGAAGTTGATCTTTCAAAAACTCAATGTCTTCAACAATCTCATTATCAGACCATTTTCGACTCGATAAATTCTCACAAAAATTTAATAATCTTGCAACTAACATTGCAGGCAAATTAGCTTCTGGAGCTTTATCAACCAAATTCTTAAAAGATAAAAAGTTTTGTTAAAACTTTACAAGAAAAAATCAAATACACATTTTTACCTACTTTAAATGTCCCAATAATTACACGAATTATCTTTTCTTTAATGGCACCTTTAGCAATATTGATCAATGTAGGAATTAAATCGTATTTTCTACATAAAATAAAAAAAATATATATATATAAATGATATTAAAAGTACGAATAATTAATTTCAATAAAAACTCATATTTACTTGTTAAAATCCAATGATACTGCTCGTTCAAACGACAACAGCCAGAAACAAAAAATTATTTGATATTGCATTTGAGGTGTGGGATTTCTGACCTTAAGGAGATTAACCAATCTGAAATGAAACAATTAATTAGTATTATCGTGTAAATTAATATATTTAATAATATATAGATAATTAATTACGCGTCTATGGCTTGTGGAGCTTCCCAAAGCTTCAAACGATAACCAGGAACTCTCAAAGTTGAATCTAATATCTGAACCGCAAGGTCGCATACATTAGGATTATTACTCTTAAGTTTCAAAGTAATCCAGCGGTAAAATTCTTCAAGATCAAAAGGAAGAGATTTTGGAGCTGAGCTAAACAATAGAAAAATTTATAAAATCAATCAACTCTCAATTAAATTATTCGACATTAATATTAAAATTAAAATTTCTTACACAATTAATAAGGTAAGGATTTTGGCGGACATTAAACTTACGAATTCGTCTTCAGTATTTAACAATCTATAAACGACGTCAAATTAATATATAAACATTTAATAAATTTTCAGGTAAAAAGATTTTGCTTACTTTAGAAAGATGCGAAAAGGAAGTTCAGCATCCTTTTCAGAAACTTTATGGAAATATTGGACACGTTGTTCCTCATCTAAGTTTATGTATTTAAATTATTAAAAACTTAATATCTAACAAAAAAAAAATATATATATATATAAATGAATCTAACCTGATAACATCTCACTAACTAGTACCAATATATATTGAACTGTATCAATTCGACTTAATTTTTCCAAGAGATTTGTGTATAAATCTGCATATTTTTCTGCATCCTAATAACAAGAAAGAATTAAATAAGTATTCAGTAATACTGTGTTTAGAAGCATTGCAAAAAATAATACCTTTTGCATCACCACTTTTAATTGTTCAAGACTTTGTTTATCAACTTTTTTCAAAAGATCAAGTTCTTCTTGGGTAATAAGGGTGGCTTTTTGATATCCCTAAAAATAATAGAGTAGAAAAGGTGTCAGATAAGAAATGTAAAAGAAAAAGAAATCCATCATACTTACATCCCAAGGGATTGGACGTGAGCGTATATTACTTGTAAGCTCGTCCAAATATTGATTTGAGACGAATACTAAAGGAACATCGGGGACTGCCTCTTCTGAAATTTCATAGGTGGTGCTCATTGTGATAGATAACTTGGTTATGTTATAGGTAAAGGATATTTATATATTTTTTTTAACATTTGGCGCAATCTTTAGATGTTTGATTAAAAGATGAAGATGATTACACAAAGAGATGAATAGATAATCCCAAGATGATAGATTACTTAAAATTTAGTTCATGGGGACTATAAATTTGGCCCGAGTTAATAATATTAATTTAAAAATGAGATATGTTTGATTGAGGACCGGGAAAACTTTTAATAGAGGTTATCGGAAAAATACAAAAAAATTATATGATTATGTACCACATGATTTTACTAACCAAAATTGTGGTAAGTATGGACAAAAGTATTGCACGGTCAAATTTTATCGATTTATTTTATTTTTTAATAAGGCCGCCTGAATTCTATTTGCATTGATCGCACTAAGTCACGGTACACTTTCGGCGAAATCGCATTCCATGCTTCTTTTACTGCTATTTCAAGCTCACGAATGTTTGACGGCTGAGGATTGCGACTTCGAATTTTTACTTCAACTGCAGCCCACAATGTTCTCAATCGGGTTTAGGTCAGGACTTTGAGCAGGCCATGGGAGTACCTCCACATTTTGGGAAAGCAAAAACTCTCTTGCAACTTTTGACGTGTGAACCGATGCATTGTCCTCTTGAAAAATAAATTTTTTTTTTGTTTGTCGGGAAAATTTCTTGAGTGTAGGAACTGCATAATTGCCAAGTACTTCTTTATATGATTTTCCAGTTACTGAACCTTCAAGTGGAACAATTGGACCTAATCTTAAAAAGGAAAAGCATGCCCAAAACATTCTTTGAGAATGTTTTACCATCGATCAGATTTTTGAAACTGGGAAAAAGTGGACTCATCTGTCCAGACCACTTTTTTCCAGTCTTCTACAGTCCAATGTCTTCTTTCCATTGCTCATGAAATCCTTTTGGCTTTGTTTATCGCTGAAATGAAAGGTTTCTTTTGAGGAATACAGGAATGCACATTTTCCTTGTGAAGTACACAACGAATTGTTCTTGCAAAGATTGGTTTATTGATCTCAACAGAAACTAAATTCATAATTTCTGCTAAATTTTTTTGTTGTAATTTCTTATTTTTGAGAACGATAGCTTTAATCTTTTCCTTTTTTTGGCTAAGGATACAGGGTCAACCTGGCCGTTTTTGGAAGTTTCTTCTGATTCATAAGCCGCAAGAAAGCGTATGGTGCAGATCATCTATAAATAGAAATAAAATTGCCCGACTTTAAAATCCTAAAACTTTTGTTCTATATGCTATAAAGAACAATAATTATAGAGCGGACAATGAAGAATAAAAGTTACAGTTTCAAATATTTAATTAATTAGAAAGTTTTTGAGTTTTAGGCGATTGAAAATTACGATTTTCTTATAAAGTGTTCAAATTTCGGACATTGATCTTATCATGTGACATTGACTTTACCCAATAAAATTCAATCACGTGAAAATTACCCAATGAAATGTGTATAATACGATATAATGCAAATCGATCGGTAAATTTTTTTTTTTAAAAAAATTTTCTTCTTCAAGCATGCCCCGACTTACAAAGAAAAAGCTGCAGTGAAAAACAAAAATCGCAATAAGAAAGGAAAATTTGGCACAAAAACTAAGTAGGTTTATTAAATTATTTAATGTATTTATAAGAAAGGATACATTTATTTAAATTAATGTTTTTTTTCTAGAGCTGAGAATGATGCAGAAGTGAACATATTAGGGGAACAATTAGAGATGGATTTGGATAATACTTTTAGCGAAAGGGATTGGAAAAATGATGAAGTAAGTGATTGGGAAAGTGATATTGATTTAAAAGTGGAACAAGATATACAGAATAGACTTTTGAAGGTGAATTTTGAATTGAAGTGGAGACCGAATGCCAAATTAGAAAAAAAAAAATGTGGTCCTTATAAAGTAGATAAAACACCAAAGTCAACTTATTATGACAAATGGGGACCTAGTGACTCATGAACAGAAGCAGCAAAAGGAACCTAAAAGTTAGAGAGATTTTTTAGCCGGCAAGAAGCATGGCAGACATTTGTATGATTGGTCGATTTTTATGTCAATCATTTCCTAATTGTTATTGAAATGATTAATTTT